CCCGAGACTCAGATGTTGTGTGTCACACGTTTTAGATTCTTTGGGTGATTTTCTGCGTGTGTGTATCTTTTGAAAGCTCTGGAGCAGTCGGTGAAAAATTACCGACCAGCTACCAGATCCAACCTCCATATTATGGTCCGCATTGGGACTTGAACCGGCGACCCTCCGGTTCCCAGCTCAAGTCACTACAGACTAAGTTACTGCCGCACCGATAAATACAACTTTAAAAAAAGAAAGAAAACAGTTACCAGGGATCACTGGCTGGCAGCTTCATTAGAAATGAATCTCATTAAACTTAATTAAAAGTGTGAATAATTGTTATTCTCAACTGATTGGGTCTCATGCGCTTGCTTGCACAAATCTGTTCTCCCACAGCTGGAATATGAAGTTTTATGTTCTCACTGTTTGATATCACTCACACTAATTAAAGTCAATTACTTTCACTCACATCCATCTTAATTAGTACAAAGTAACAATGTTTTTTTTAATTTCACATCTGTGCTGCTCTAATGATATTGTAAACTGCTTTGTGTAGTTGATGAATATTAAATCATATTGGAGGATTATTAATTCCGTTATCAATGTGGATGATGTTGTTTGACTGAAAACATTTAGAGGGAGCTCAGGTTCATTCACTCACTCAGGTTAACACCTGTTTGCCCTCCGGCTGCCTCTCAGTCATCAGGTGGCTGCTCATTCTGGAGTACACACAGAAATGTACGGCCCGGGGGCACTGGTAGCCTAGTGGTTAGTCTGCGCGCCCCACGAACGGAGGCTAACGTCCTCCGGGCGGGCGGCCCAGGTTCAAATCTGACTTGTGGCTCTCTCTCTTCTCTCTCGTCTCTCTCTCTCTCTCTCTCTCTCTCTCTCTCTCTCTCTCTCTCTCTCTCTCTCTAGTAGTAAAGGCAGAAAAACCAAGAAATAAATATACAAGTTTGCAGAAAAGTCAGAGGACTGACATTATAGTGTTTGAGATGAAGCAGAGGGAGCAGCTTGGGGTTAAGAGTCTTTCCCGAGGAGACATTGGACATGTTGATGCAGGAGCCGGGGATCGAACCCCTGACATTCCAGTAGGAGACGACAGACTCTACCCACTGACCACAGCAACCAAATTCTCCTCTTAAATTATAAACCCTCCTCCCTGTCAATTTTGAAATGTTGTCAGGAAATTAAATGCGAGTGAATCTCCTGCTTTAAAGTGGATTATTTCAGTTTTTAATTTGACCAGATGGATAAATGTCAATGCAGTGTGACTTAAAAAACAGTGTGTCCCCTATAAACCGATACGGAGTAAAACCTGGAAGTTGAGAAGCCGCCATTACTGCGGTGACCTCTGCCTTCTACAGACGCAGGTTTGAAAGTGAGCTGTTCTGAAAAGTGAAGATTTGTTCTACTTTTTAAATATACATGTATCCCTTACTTTACAACACGGTAAAGGACTTCAGAACCTGTGGAGTTTTACAGTTTACTAACAGTCAGAAAAGACTTTGTGAAAAACAGGGAGTGAACATGAAGTGTATTAGAGCGGACACTTTACACACACTGACTGTCCATGCTAAGGACGAATATATTATTCAGAGGTGGATCGAAGTATGGATATAAAAATGATAAGTCGTTTCTGTCCTTCTTTGAGTGACCTGTAGGTGGTGCTCATTCTTCCATCTCCAGGAGATTATGAAACTATTTCTATATAACGTTAATCTATTATGCTCATTTAGCATAAAAACAAACAAGCTAAATGAATATCTACAGACACTGGATCAGTTGATTAATGAAGCTAACTATCTTGTAGAATATATTAAACAGGATGATGTGTCGGCTGGTTCTTTTTTCTTTATTTTGTTATGAAATCAGTTGTTATATAAAAAAAGTCTGCTATGTAAAATCTAAATAATATTAAGACCTCTTCATTAAGGTTCCTTCATCAGCAGCTGTCTGACTTTTTAATCTATGAAATCTGTCTTCATAATAAACAGGCAGCAGCAGACTCTGAGAGGCAACCGCAGTAATGACCGCCACCACAAGATGGCAGCGCCCACAATACCTAGAAGAGAGACGCACAAGAGCATTTGGGGGTTCGGTGCCTTGCTCAAGCGTAGTACTCGGGAAGTGGTACCTCTCCAGCTACCAGACCAACTTCCATCTTATGGCCCACATTCGGACTTGAACTGGCAAGCCTCTGGTTCCCAACCCCAGGCCCCTACAGACTGAGCTACTGCCGTCCATAATACAGACTGTGCAGAGATTCAGGGTCATGTGTGTGTTTTGTTTTCACGAGAACATGAGCGCTCCTTGTCTTTATTGTTAAATGAATCATAAATATTAAAATAAATCAGCAGAGCTGCTGTCACTCACTTGTCCTGGAGCTGGACTCTGTGACCCCAGTTCAGAGACCGCACATGGTTTTGAACAGCCTCTGCCATGGTGACCCTGAGAAACACACAACAGGTGATTATCTTATAAACAGACCTGACCGCTGCATTCCTCACCACCCTGACCACATCCAGAGGGACAGTAGTGACTGGTAGGCTCACTGGCATGGTGATGTCACTTAATAATGAGCTTTCAAAAAGAACATAATGACCCTTAATTGGTAAAGATAATGGAAGGAATCTGGAGCCCGCCTGTGAGCCTAAATACTTGAGAAGACGTTCTGCGGTGGAATCGTTAAACATAATCCATTTTGAGTCGGTGGGACCAGCAGGTGAATCCAGCAGACAGTACAGGTTCTTGTGTTCATACAGAGTTAATTACTTGATGTAAATCGTTCACTATTATTGAGAGACCCGACACAATTCTCGATGAAAAACTGGTTTATATATTTTGTATTTTAATGTCTTACTTTGGCAAGATGTCTTATTTCTGTATTTCTTTTGGATCTTATTTATAAAACATATCTTCATATTTAATCTTCTCTGTGATGGTTTCACATTCTCTTCTTTTAATGTCTCTTTTTCTCTTTGATTTGATGCGTTTGCCTTGTTGCTGAAATGTGTGATAATAAAAACTTTTCCTTGTTGTCATTCTGTTATTTTGACACTAGATGGTGCCGTTTAGCTGTCCATTAAAGTAAGTCATCTGAATTGATTTAAGAGTACTTTTCACTAAAGCTGATAATGTATTGAAGGGAAAGCTTTTGATTGACCCACCAGTCATGGCAGACCGGCCCTGAGATCTGCCAGCCGTACTTCTTAGCGTCTTTCACCGCCGTGCCGAGTAGAGCGGCCTGGTGCATCAGCTTCTTAGGAATGCAGCCCACATTGACACATGTTCCTCCAAGTCCCCACTTGGTACCTGTTTGGGAAAAGTAACCCCAGAGAGATGAACCATGATGTCATCAAATCATTCATCCAGAAAATCATCTCTTTGTAATCAAATCGGCACGAGGGGTTAAATGTGTTTTACCTTCGCTGATGGCTCCACGTAATCCAGAACAGCAACTTTCAGTCCCAACTGTGCGGCTGTGGACGAAGATTCATTTAGAGGTGAGAGAGAGAGATACAGAAATCATGGAGGAAAAGCAAACAAGTAAAAGATCTCACCTTCTTTGGAACATGCCAGGCCTCCTGAGCCACCGCCGACGACCACCAGGTCAAAGTCATACTTTCCTGTTGAAGTAGAACAGATGATGAATTTACATAAAAAACCACGATGAGAAGGAAATACCAAACAACAACATAAACTGTACACAAGCTGACAGAGACACATAGAGGAGGGGGGGGGTATTATATCAATTCATGGCCGCCAAGTATCAATGTTTTTATTATATTAACAGCAAGTGTTTTTTTTTAACTTTCTGAGGAAGTTGCACATTTCATTTTGAAGAAGTTGCATCCTGCAGTTGTCCAGTCGTCCGTTCATGTTTGTGTTCAGTTAAATTTGAAAAACTGAAATACAAACAGTTCAGACTGTGAGCTACATCATGCAGACTTTACAGGGTTTTACTTTGACCTCAGTGTTGCTCAGTCTGTGGGCTCGACTCACATCATGTAGAAATTAAAAGACTGAAGTGAGATGAAGAGACTGAGGATGTTTTCTTATTTGACCAAACAGTTTTTGATTCAGTTTAATTTTGTGGAAATATCCCAATTCTCTGGGTAATATTGTATTACAAGTATGGGGATCATACTGTATCGAGGGGCTTCTAGTGATTCCCACTTCAGAGACACTTAAGCCCAGTTTCCACCAAGCGGTCCGGTCCAGTTCGGTTCAGTTCAGTACACATTTATTGGTGTTTCTACTGTCAAAAGTTAAGAAGGGTACCAAAATAACTGATCTGTACTGTCATACTTCTTTCCCACCCTTCTGATTGCATCCCAGCCGCTGATTGACTTCATCCAGGTACAAACAGTTAATCGACTGACTTTTATAAAGTAGTATTTTACAAAGTAGTGCAAGTTTAACCAATACATATTATGATGTTTAGTCAGAGTTCAGCTTCAGGACACACGTAAACGGTTAGGTCATTCTTGGTAATATTACAGAGAACAAACAGTGTGGACCAGATAACATGTTTTTAAATGTGTTCTCCTTATCAGTACAGACCAGAGACTGTAGATATGAAGGTACAGACTATATAGAGGGAAAGCCTAAAGTATGGTACAGACTATATAGAGGTATAGACTATTTAAAGGTACAGACTAAAGTATGGTACAGACTAATTAAGGTGCAGACTATATTAAGTCGCAGACATGAGCAGCTGAATGTGACCGACAGTAATGAAGAGGATAACCTCATAGCAGCGCCGCTCGGACTTCTACCTGACTCACACCTTTCTGTTCTCTTTACGTTCACGTCATATGTGAACCACGACGTGTTACCTGTCAAGTTTCTCGTCAAAACATGAAAACAGTTGATCCTCTTCCACCGGTGTCTGCCCCTGCAGAGGGCGGCCATGTTGTTATGATAATCAGGACCCCGAGCTGGGACGAGGGTGGCCAGAGAACCGCCTGAAAAGAAATGAGGCGACGACAACAGAGGTGCGCAAAGTGGGGGTCGGGGGCTCCTGGGGGTCGCGTGATGTCTTCCCAAAAAATATGTCAAACATTTAAATGATTTTAACTTCTATATTTGAACAATTATTGTAAAAATAGACACCAAAAATATTTCAATTACAAATAAAACCATATCATAAAGTGGAATTAAACTGAAAGTAATGTGTTAGAATAATTAAAAATGTAAGTCTATTGTCTTACAATAAATTACTATAAAACAGTGTTATTGTTTTCTGTTGTATGTTTTGTGTGTAGGGCTTTTAGTGCATGGTGATGACCCTTATTTTAGGAGTATAGCGAACTAAAAAGTTTGGGAACCCCCTGAACTAAAATCATAGACTGTCCAAAATTCAAAATGAACTTTCTGTGAAATGTGTCCATTCATGATAAACCGTAGAGCCTATGTTCCACAGACAATCAAAACTTCTAATCAGCACCCACTGAGGGATGTGCGTGTCTTTTTTAAAAAATTTTTATACATTTTCATTAAAAATTAATTCGGTGGCGGTGGCCCGATGCTTGGTTCGCCCGCCCTGTGTGCAGAGACTGCAGTCCTCGAGGCTGGCGGCCTTGGTTTGGGTCCGACCTTGTGGCTCCTTTTCCTGCATGTCATTCCCCACACTCTCTCTCTCTATCCGGAGTTCCAACACTCTCCACTCTCCAGTGTGTCTAATAAAGGCATCAAATCACAAAACTAAATCTTCAAAGTAATAACACTATATTAATTCCCTACATGCAAATTGTCACTTTTTTAATACTGACGTCGCCTACTCAGCATTTCTTATCATATACAGTATTGTATCGATGATAAATCTATTTTTATCAAACATGGACATCACTTTGGACGAAACATTTGTTTGAGTGTTTTAGCACAAATGTTAATTATCAACACTTGTCCACAGGAGGCTTTAGAGGGAAAAGAAAAATAAGCCTAATGATAATGAAAACTTTAATTAAAAAGAGAAATAAAGAGGGGAATGTATACTAATATTACAAGGACAAAAAGAGAGGCAATATATTCATAATGAAATAGGCTACACTGTAAAAAAGGAAACATGATCAGACATTAAAACAGTTGGTAGCTCCACATGTGAGCACTATTTTAGCCAAGTTTTGCCCACTTTGCATAAAGAACAGGCTGACCAAAAGAGGTCTGGGACGTCACCCATCTGTTCCTGCAGGGGGCTTTGGCTGCCCATAGATGGCGGTCTCCATGCTGGAAATGCTGTCTCAGTCAACCTAACGACAGGTTTTAAACCTCTTGACAAACCGTTACTCCACGCCCACCTGTCCATCAGGTCATTCACGTGCCTAACTATGGATAACATGTATCGTTCATGTAATCAAAACGGAAGAGTTATGCAAAAATTCACCCCCGAACAGTGTATGCAGATCGAGACATGAGCAAATCAGACCTATTTAGTTTTATTAACCAGGCTGTAAACATGTTATAAACAGGCTTTTTTGAATGTAGTGTGTATGTGACTTCTGGTGCGTCTGCAGCCAGCCTCTAGTGGCCACTCGGGGAACTGCAGGATATTTGACTTCTGCATTGGCTTCCTTTTTCAACACTGGAGGTTGCAGCTTGATCAGCACTGATGGAGGCTCGTGTGATCTCCACTCCTCTGAAAAGATGATGCAAGCTTACTGGGTTTAATACAATATGAAACCTGTAAAATAACAGAATTCACTGCTATAAGAGCAATCCATCATAAGGCTAAATTCTGGTATATAGAAAGTTTTCTTCTTGCTGTTTAGAGTGAGGGATTCAGTTTGACCTCAGTCATTTCTGTACTCAAAAGAAACCCTCAACTTGTCAATCAGGTAAAGGTGTTGCCTGCATATATGATGGATCTTGTCCAGGGTCTTTCATTCTCACTGACTTGGGGGATAGCAGACAGGGTGCAGACTGCATCCTGTCTGCACAGCAGAGTTCTGTGAGGAAGTGGGCGTCGCCTAGGAGAGGGTAATTAATGATTGTTTGCACCTGAGAGTGAGTGTGAGAGAAAAAGGAGAAGGAGTGTGCAGGCTGCATTGAATGTTCTTGGCTCTTAACAAATTAGTACTCACAAGGTATTATCACCCCTCTCTCTTTACCACCTCACCTCAAGACTTCCACTGCTTTTGGCCTCCAATCTCTCCTCCCCTCTCCCAAACAACAATTCACCCACAGACACAAAAACACACTCTCTTTCTTTAGTTTATCTATTTTTCCTTTTTGTTCATTGCATTAGAACATTGAACTGATTTAAGTATTTTTTTGGATGAATGATCATGGGACATTTGACCTTTAATTATAGGGAGATGTTTATTTAATTGTTGGTAAAGTTATGAAATGTTTTCTTTTATCCTGAATTCATGTTAAATGTATAAATACAGATGAACTTTGATTTTATTCCCTTTCATAGCATGATTTGTATTGAATGTGAAGCTGAATAGGAGCTATTCTGCCTGGAGACTTTTTGATTGACAGATTTAAGGGTCTGTCTCGCGCCCAATTGGACAATTGCTTGATTTCACTTACGCTACAAGGTATCTCTTTGGAGGCAGAGGAAATGGCTTTGAGGATTCCTCTTTCATCATCTTCACACAGGCGGATCTGATACAACCTTTCAGAATAATCATTAAACATGGCCTGTTTTTTTTAAAGATTATTTATAGGCTTTTTGTGCCTTTAATGGAGAAATAGGACAGTGGCTAGAGTTGGAAATCAGGGCGAGAGAGAGGAAGGAATGACATGCAGGAAAGGAGCCACAGGCTGGATTTGAACCTGGGCCCCCTGCTTAGAGGACTATAGCCTCCATACATGGGGCGCGCACACTAACCACTGCGCCACCAGTGCCCCAACATGGCCTGTTTTAAATCGATTTACGACTTCATCCTTGTAAATTTACACTTTAATCTTGAAATTTAGATAAAACATGTCTTTAAAATGACCCTAATACTCTGTCATACAATATTGCAAAATGTCCCAGTTGAAAAAAAAATGTCTTGCAGTTGCTGGTCTTCTTTTTGCACTTTTTTTGCATCTACTCATAGGTCCAACAAGGTTGCAAAGATTCAGACAATCATAGTTCATGTTGTGGTGCAGGAGTAGCTGGGAAACATGTAGCATCACGGATAATGTAGTAGAGCTAATTCTTCCCGGTCATGTGGTTTGATGACACTATAGTTTCCTTACCTGAGCAGCGAGTAGCTGACCACAATGACCGTACTATAACTTAGGGGGGCTTTTCTCAAAGACACATTATCCCTACTGTGTGATGACAACATGATACAAAATAACACACAGAGAGTAACACCTTCTTTCCAGGCATGATTTATTGAAAACACACCAAATTTAAACTCTACAAACCAGTATTTTTCCGTTATGTTTAACAAGCGTAATATTTGCCTCTGGGTATTAGTAAAATTAACATAATACATTCTGTCACTGCGGCATCGCTTCTGCTCGCTACGAAAGCATTAACAACTTTACTCGTCTAGGAAAATCAAAACCGCTTCTTCCACTGACTCTATACTTTTTTTGTTCAAAGTTTATAATACAACGTAATACAAGGCAGAAACCCACCAACAGTCTAAACTACTTAGGGTTTGAGGGGGCAGGGAAGGTAGTGTGGGGTTTGGGGGTAGATGCAGGATGAATGAATGAGTTAAGTGGAGAGAGAAAAGGGGGGGCGGGCACGGGAGGAGAAAAGGGGGCGGAGGTGAACGGGCAGGATGGAGAGACGCGAGTGGAAAGGGAGGAATAAAGTTATATAAAACACACTTATCTTTATCTAGCATGGAAAAGGTTAAGGCACATGATAGGTACAAACACATCTGCTACTGAGTAGTACAGTTACTTTAATGTTGACGGTCTTCAATCGGTCTTATCTACACAGGTAGGTTCGTTTGATACGTTGTGTGTCCGTGTCGGGCCGTTCACTTTACAGCACAGTAACTTGGCTCTCTTGGTTTGTCAAATGTGCAACGTGCTGCACATCCACAGAACTGTAAAAACCCTTCTACGAGCGCGTGTGAAATACAACTCCAGATCCTTTGGTTGAGTTGCTGCAGAGCGCAGTCAGGAATAGACAGTCATGTGGGTCTTTGTCAAAAAAAAAGGGGGTTCAGTATTGTCCAATGAGAGCACACACTTCTGAGGACACACAAAAGGGATGCTGGGTATTATTATAACTTTTTTTTTTCCTCTTCTGTTTTTTTTTCTTTTAAACCTCTGAAATTAAAATGTATACAGTAAGTTTTTTTTGTCGTTTATTGATTTTTACCACAACGTACACCTTTTTGTAAACACTGTGTAAAATATGCAAGCTTTATAAAGTCACGTACGTCACGAAGAAAAATCAGACTTCAATGCAGGCACATGCCGTTCGCCTTTGATGACGCGTGAGTGATGCGCCAATGTGGGATTGGCGTCTCGTTCTCCATGATGTGAATCAGGAGAAAAATGGCAATATGATTCCGTATCCCTCTGCTTTTATACATCCACACATCCCCTAAAGCGTTGTAAAAATATATACTATATGACCACTTGACTTGATGTGTGTTTTTTTTTTGTACAGTGTGATGCAACTCTTTACATTTTGTATTTAAACCCTCCGAAGACACGACCACGCCCGTTCTCGCTTCCTCATGAACTCCATGTGAATGAATTAGTTAATATCCAAATGACACCACAAAAAAACTGGCACTTGGAAAAGAACAAAATATAAACATCTGTACATCAGTTTTTTCCTGGCATGCTCACGACGTCGTAGATTCCTCTTTAAGATGCACCTGTGAAGGGTTAACTCGGTCTGAATGCATCAGGAAGAAACGCTTTATGGGTCGCCTCTTCTCCACGCCACTGACTCTTCTCGTCAGATAACATTTAATCCAAGAACGCTGAAGGGAAACCTTTTTTTTTCTGTAACCGTTTTTTGACAAATACAAAATATAAATAAGTGATCGTCGGTATAACAAGACAGTATTCGACACACATTGAAGTTAGGTGGTTATTTCTTGTCTAAAAACACGGCGAGCCTGTTATCAAATGAGATGTGCTTCCCAAACAATGTGGTTTGAATATACAACTAAGAAGTCGGTAATTTTTCTCGTTTGTTTTCCTTCGTTTTCCCGCCTTTTTTTCTCCTTTTGACCCTAATATACATTTATATAAAACCCAACAAAAATAAAAAAGGAACGCTTTCAGATCTTCCCGCCTCACTTTTTCAAAATCACAAATCATTTATAAACAAATGCCTTATATCCTCTTTAATACACAGCATTGACAAAAAGCAACCAGCCAAGAAAACTTGTGAAACTGCAGCTCAACACTTCCTCTATTTGTGGTTACAGAAATAACCACAGCTCCTGCTCGCTTGTTGTTATATCAGCTTCCTTCTTTACGATGCAGCGTGAACAGAAACTGTTTCCCCATCTGATGCACACACACCGTGTCACTTTCAAATCTCCAAACCACGACTTGCAGACTCCTCACTTTTATACAAAATGAACGTCACTCACTTTTGATTTCAAAGCATCTTCAGTGCACGTCTTTCTTTTTTCTTCTCGTCTCATAAAACACAGTGAACCGAAATGGATAAGTCTGTTAGAGCAGCTGCTTGTTCACTATGCTACAGCTCTTCTCAGGCTCGGTTTCTCTCCCTTCTTTTCTTCATTTCCATCCCAACCATCTTTAAAAAAAAAAAACATCCAATGGCTTTCAAACACACCTGTCCACACCTGTTACATCAAAACACCAAAGCTTGAGAACAAACTGAAAGTTAAATTCTTCAAAAACCACAAAATTGATGCATGAACTTTTTCCACATGTGAAAACCCAAATCAAAGAAAAATCACATTTTCTCTTCTCCGTTTCCTTCCAACACACACGTTCCTTTTCTTTTTACTTCCTTTACCTCGCTTTGTTCGACTTCATTAATCCATTTCTCCATCATAAGCACCGGCCTCGGCCCGTTCGTCTTCACTGTGAGAGCTCAACAAGAGTCAACGCGGTTAAATTCACATCATGTCCAGTGGGAATGTCGATATGAGAAAGTAGCAGGAGTAGTCTCTTTTTTATTCTTTCTTTTTTTACAAAAACCGTGAAAAGCATGAGAGTGCTGGCTGCTGCTGGGTAGTCGCTGTTATGATCATTATTTTTTAATTTTTTTTAAATCCTCTTTTCTGTACAAAGTCCAACTCCAAAGATGAGTGAAATGGCAGTGGTGATTTGAGAGATCCTCTTCTAGCTGCAGCGTCGTCTTTTTAAGCCTGAAGGAAGTGGAAAAGAAAGACAAACGTAAGACTAGGCATCCAGACAGGTGGACATATCATTCAATGAGCCATATAATATCAGTATCATTGCAGTCACAGTGACTTCAGAAGTGGCTGGTATTATTCAAGTAATGTCTTTGTGACTGTCAACAAAAAAGACCATTTGTTCCTACTGAAGAAGTAAAATGTGGTTGTGGTGTCAAACACCAACTCTACATCTTCTCTGAGCTCTTTGGAGCATTTAGCACATTATATTAAATGTTCTGCTTCATCAACCTCATCTCCAACAGCATTTGGAATTGCACAGCTGTTGACCACTCTGTAAGCTAGGCTAACTATTGTAGCATTTAGGAGCTAGATGTAAAAGAAAAGACGTTTTCACGTATACACTCCTGGAAATTTCCTTTGGAATATTTCTATCTACTTTGAGATATATCTGTATTGTAACATGTTTCTGCACCCAGACGAGGGAGTGACATCAATAACCTTCTTAGAAGAGAGTATTTTTACATGTCACTGAGAGGTCTAAACATGCAATTTGATTTACCTTTTCTGTGATTGGTCTGAGAGCCCATTATGTGATGTACCATCTGAAAAAGTTGAGTTATCTTTGCTATGACTATTATGTTACTTTGATATTTTTTGGATTGTCTTTTCCCCAAGGACTGACCTTTGTTAAACTTTTGCTCCTCTGAGACTGTCTTGTCTAATTTTGTGAAATGTTGCAGCAGTATTTGTAGCATTATGATCTATTAGCTATATCTCCTCTATTAGTCTGTCTCACTTAACCTCTGGGAGGACAACCCCTTTGTTCAGTATATGTTTTTGCTACATGACTAACTATCAAAAACGTTTTTAAATTGTGTATTTTATTACAATTGTGTATTTTGACCGTTTGTCTGCTTGTTGCCGTTAATAAAGTTGCTCACTGTGTGCTGAACAGTGTACGGACCTTTCTCTTTTTTTTCCCAGTCTCGCCTACCTCAATCATGTCTGGGTGGAGATGTTGCAGCACTCTCAAGGGCCTTCCAGATAGGACACGATGTGCATGTTTCTCTTTTTGAAGTAAGCTAGACAAGGGGTTCCCAAACTTTTTAATAAAATAAGGGTGCCAGAGACTGGGGACCCCCCCACTGTCCTTGAAAGTGGTTAAAGCATTTAGCGTAACCCAAAACCACATGCACTAATAGGCCTATCGAAACACTGGCATTAGAACAGCCTGAACATTTTATTATTTTAGGGTCTCCTACATTGTTGCAGTCATGCGCACACTTATAAGGAACTTTTACACATAACTTTCAGTGCAGCATACATCTCACTGAAGGTCTATGGTTTTATTTTAAATTGAAGAACTTCTTGTTGAATATCATTTCAAAATATGCAATTTTAAATCATTTCAAATGCGTATTTATTTTTCTCCACTTTAGGAACCACTGGGCTAGACGAAATATTAGCATTGATGTTTTTTTAGGGTAACAAATCCCTATCACTCACAATACCTCTCATTAGTGAACAATAGTGTATTATGCTTGAGTCTATTCTCAGCTGCATCAACACATGATTGGCATGCTAACAGGGAGTCACATCTCTACTCAACAGCGTCAATGTATCGTCTGTTTTGGTCTTTCACAGAATTTGATGACAAAAAGATACATGAATAATAACATTTGATACTAAAATGTGATTTTAGATGAAACTCTGTTGTCCTTTAAAATCAGACATGAAGACAACGAGTCGGTATAATCACAGTAAATCACATCACAGATAGCTAACGCGTCTGTAACAGAACAGTCGAGATGAGACGGCTAAACAGATGTTCAATGTGCCGGATGAAGTCCTGAATGTGTTTGTGAAATGACTTACCTGCTGGTTCATTCACAATATTAGAAGAACATTTTATTTTTTAACCAAAACCAGAGTAAAAACTTTTAAATGAATACCACACATATACTGCTACGTCTCTAGAGGGACACTGTGCAGTGTTTTTCATGTGATGGTGCAATGAATGGAAACGACAGAAGTGAAGAGCAAGAGAGACGGCTGGGATGAAAAGATGATGATGTGACACTTTGTGAGAGGAAGTCTATGTTACTGGAGGAAAGAGGAGGAGCAGGAGGAGAGAAAAGATCTCTACAAGCTCACCTGAACCCGCCTGCAGCTCTGCAGAAGTCATTTAGTGAGACATCAAAGGAAGTATGGGAATAGAAGGATTGCTTAATACCGAAAGGTAATCTGCCTCCACATACATAAATATTAGAGGACATTAATACATTTGGATTTATTTTCCTGCGACTGCTGTGACTGTGACCTTTATGCAAAAAGGAAAAGGAACTGTTTATAAAAAACGTTCTTCAAGAAGTTTTAGACAATTTATTCTAAAACGTTTTAGCTATTTGCAAAAAACATTTGACCGAGGGCATTCTTCCTTTGACTACGAACCTCACCATAATTAAACTGTTTTTAAGTTTCCAAGACCTACCTCTCGCCTGGCCCACTGCAACTCCTCTCTACATGAGAGTCAGTCAATCCTCACTCTAAGTCTTCTGCAATATATTTACCAGGTGCAGCATGTCACCTCTGTACTCGCCTCCCTTCATTGGCTCCCTGTTGATTTTTAGCACTATTACTTGTTTTAAAGTCACTGCATGGTTACGCCTATAGTGACCATATCAATCGAGACCAAGCGATACCCGAGACCGGACTGCTCCGAGACCAGGGCAGGACGAGACCTAGACATGACCAAGACATTTTGTGATCGAGACCGAGTCAAGATCGAGACCATAAATATCACTGAAAAATCCTCATCTCGTGTGCAGCGGGCGTGTCACTCACTTAGGTTGGTCGTAACCGGGGGATACGAATCAAATTACAAATGAACTGAAGTTATTCATTATTTTAGAAAGAGGTGTTTCTCTTGTAATCTCAGTAATGATGTGGAAAATAACCTGACAGTGGTGGTCTTGACCGTTCTTGATTTAAAATCCGGAGTCCGTCCAGTCTGAGACTGAGACAAGGTCGAGAGAAAATGCTTTCGATTCTGAGACTAGACCGAGACCTTCAAAAAGTGGTCTTGAGACTAAGACTGATTTTTGAGTACTACAACACTAGTTCAGCCTGACAACTTTTACTCCCTTACACCCCAGGACGATCACTCCAGTCCTCTGAGCAGTCTCTCCTGGTCGTCCCCCGAGCTCAGCGAAACTCCTGGGCGACCGTGCCTTCTCAGTTGGAGGCCCTAGTCTGTGGAATCTATAGCCTCCCCTCATCAGAGGCGCTAACTCATTGAAAGCAAAACTCAACTCAACTTTTTACCCTGCACTCTGGCCAGCTGAGGCCGTTTTAAACGTGAGGCTGTTAAAAACTCAACTTGACTTGAAAACATTTTATGAAATCGTTTCACAAAGAGAGGCCAGGTTTTTTTCCTTCATGGAGATAAAACATCTCAGTTACAAGAGAAGCCACTTAGTAATCATTTATTCGATGAACCTTAACACAAAATATGCAAATGAACATCCAAACGAACATAAACAGAATTAATATGAGCTCATCCTTCATTACATCTCCGTCTTGGACATTTTCTTTTCTGACAGTCGATGATGTGCACAAATTATGTCTTCACCTCCAATCGTCAAATTAGAATCCTTCATGAATTATTTATATGGAGTCATCCTGCTTTGACTAGATGCGGCGTGCGAGTAGATATTCTGTGAGAGTGTGTTTGTATCGCTGTGCGCTCCTTCTCTCTTCCTCCTGCTTTCCATTACGGGATAACCAAGTCTCTGGAGGATCCATCTGAAGCGTAGTAGAATGATTCCCCTTCATCAACTCCAGAAAAAGGCTGTCGAGGGACGTAGTGAGTAAAATGAGGCGTACATTGAAAGCAGACAGGTGGTGCTGCATAGTAAACACAGACCAAAGCCTGTTAGCTTGCTGTATGTATTTCAAAGCGAGAAAGCTAAGTGGGTTTTTGCACGATGCCTCGTTGATCTCCCTGAGTGGCTGGATTTGACGTCAGGGTGCCAAAATAACAATGAGATGCAATGTTGGATTACTTATCGACCTTTTCCCAAACCATGTGCCCACACAAAAAAAATTAAGTTTTAAATCTGCCTGTCTAAACTATTAGCGAGTGTAGCTCGACGCACGCTAATAATTTGGACAGGTGGATTTAACACTCGAAAGTGCTGGGATTTTAGAAACACAGCAGTTAGAGCTGGTAACATTCAGAGGCTTAAAGAACAATTACTGTGAGGTGATCTAATCAGATTTAGCTAGCTAGCGAAATAAAGCTAACTTTAGCTCAAATATTTGTTTAAAAAGTTGCCTCAGTGAGAGTTTTACAGAGTTTTTCGCAGGCTCATTTTGAAGCCAGAATCTTGTAAAAGGGCCAAGAAATGCTAAAGCTACATGTACAAGAAAACTGTTAGCAGCCTCATCAGTTAGCACTACAATAAAGCTTTCACACCTGCAGAAAACTCCTGAAAAACTCCTGATATTTCCAGGTTGAGCTGAATGTGTGAACGCAAACAGCCACATTTTATACTTGACTTCCCCCGAAGGTTCTCCTGCCAGACACCTAGTATTTCTTCCGCAAGAAGTCCGAGTGAGCTGATGTGAGAACGCAGCAGGATATTATCAGGAGAATTCACGTCGAGCCAATGGGAGAGCCAGGGAGAGTCTCCAGCTGTGAGCAGCATATGTGAACAGCCATGTCAGGAGAATATCCGGAGCAGTCCTCCTGAAATTATCTAGATATTTTCAGGAGTGTATGTGTGAAAACAGCTCAAGCTAGTAGGTAAAAAAACCCATTAATTTCTCTTCTTTTTGTGGCCTTCTTTAATACTCTCTGGCCTCTACTTTAATATACCACACTGCAAACTCCCATCAATCTGTCCTCCCCCACACCAACCTCTGAGACCATTTTGTGCCCATTAACAGGCACTAAGGCCATGACTGAACGAACTCTGTTTGAAGGACGAGTTCAGTGAAAAGTCGATTCATCGGTGATGAATACTTGGTTATTTATCGGAGTTTAAAGGTTTTCTGTTACCAAGTCGTTGCTAATTTAAATCTCTACCTGGAGGTTGGTGAAACAGAAGTGCCTGAGTGAAAATGAAATCATACCTAAAATATAAAAAAAGTTTGACAGACTCATTTTAGGTTAAGCTTCAAGTAAACTGTACATTTGAGAGTTGAGCAGGGTGACTAATGCAGCTGACTGTGGGTGCAGGATGACAGCAGGTCTACATGATACAGCGTGAGGGTGAAAGGCACACAGGTGGAAACATTGAACAAACAAGGGATGAGAAGGATGCTACAGTCAAACCCAAGGTGGGGGAAAGGTTGTTACTTTTGTGGTGCTTTAATATTTCAGACCTACCATGCATGCATTTAGACCCAGGAGTCAACAGGCTGGGGCTTTACATCACAAGCGTCCACCAGACTGACCGCAGGCCTGTTACTCCTGATATAGTGTTTCCTATTTGTGTCATTCTGTAGCCACAGGAGGACGGGTTAAGAAAAAAAACACAGCAAAACAAAGAGAGGTCAATACATTTCACAAATACACTCACACATACACACACACATACACATGCATCCAGGATCAGAGAAGCCAGTGTTAGTTCCCCGCCGTAAGGAGAGCTTGGAGAGAAGTCAGAGAGATTACAGAACAGCAAACCAAACCATGCAAATGAAAGAGGGAGAGAGAGCTGCCGTTTCAGCAGCCAAGTTGCATTCAAAGCGGGCAGAACACCTCCGGGAAGAACAGCGGGGCGGACTTAAGAGACAGCTTTTGGAGTATAGTGCTTAAAGGCCTGTGCACTGTGAAGTCAAACATGGCTGTTTGCTGAGATTACTCCCGTCTTCTGTCTGAGCATTTTAAAACATCTGCTGCTCTTACTAAATGTGAGAGTACAACCTCGGCTCTGATTGGTTTAGCTGAGTAATTGAGTTAAATGAAGAGTCAGTGCCGACTGAAATAGATTCTTCCCGAGGTCACTGTTGAACTCTGGAGCTGTCGATAGCTGGTAGCTTTTTGATGCTGCTTTATGCTGTTTCTTCAAGAGGCTCACTATAATTGGCAAAAATCTGCATTTGTTCTGGTGTAAAGGCTCCTGAAAAGCTTTCAAAGATGCTAATAAAAGAACCACAAAGACTTTACAAATAAACTGAGTGTATTTTAACATGTCAAATAAAAGAAAAAGTTGTAATAAGTCTTAAAAGTCACATATTCTCCTCCTTTTCAACCAGTTTAAATAAGTCTCAGAGCTCCTCAAAACATGTGTGTGAAGTTTCTTGTTCTAAATCCACTCTGATCCTGTATTTGATCATGTCTATAAACCCCTCTATTTCAGCCCTGCTCAGAACAGGCTGTTTCTGTGTTTGTACCTTTAAATATGTAAATGAGCTGTGTCTGACCACGCCCCCTCTCTGGAAGGGCTTAGGTGTACTCGGGCTTTCTCGCTCCATGTACTATTGTTTACGGTCAGAAGGCAGACTCAGAGGGCAGAACAAACACCTAGCTGTGGGAGTGTCACCCACCTGGGGGAGGGGTTACTGCCCTTTGTGATGTCATGAAGGGAAAATCTCCAAACGGCCTGTTTGAGCACACATTTTCTGAAAAGTGGAGCAGGCAGAAGACGGAGAGGATGGACTTTTCTCATCATCAGGGGGTTTGTAGACGGACTACAGACACATAATAATGTTAGAAAAAAATGGTGAAGTGGATTTAGATAATATGTGACCTTTAAAAAGTACAACTCTACAACGTTATGACTCTTGATACAGTTTAGGTATACTCCTGTCTGTGTGCGCTCATTGTGAGACAACAGTTATGTCACTGTTGTGTTTGGTCAAAGCTGCGACACAGTTTTATTTCTGCCAAAAGTCGGCAAACTTAACAAATTAAAATTGTCAACAGGAGACAAAACATTTCAGCCACATGTAAGGTCTCCCTTTAAGCGAAACACTGTAAAACACCTTCAATTTTCAAAAACAAAATTTCAATTTGATCATGTGTTCATGTAGGAGTACGATATTCCTTCTGCTTATAAACCACCATGTCAGTTAATTGTCTGTTCAGGGATCAAGTCAGTTATACGCTTCACTCTAAGACACAGATTTAACATTTTTCAGCAAACATATGAGACTTTCAAAGAGACAAAAACAGTGTGACAACAGATACAAAGTTTAATATATAAGACAGAGCAGCACCCAAGGGCTACATCTTGACTCAGCGTGCTGCTCTGACAAGCAGTCTGTGTTAGCGTAAAAGCTAATGCTTTGTAACCGATATTACAAGTTCAGGTCACTGTTATCGACTGTTTGGCTTGGACTACTGTAATCTTATTGTCAGTCTATCCTGTGTAAATATGTCTCTGAGTCATAACTGTCTGCAATGAGTGAGAAGCTCGAGTCCTGTTGTCGGAGCCGTGTTTACATCATGTTTACCTGGACGGGACGGCCGACTCTTCTGCATACTCACTGATTATTTGGATGTCACTTACGAGCCTTAACATCTCTGGTATTCTGTGTCAATTCATTTGCAATATGAAGCTAGGAGCTAACTAAAGTATGCTAGCATTAGCATGCTAACACAACAGTGATTGCAGCTGGAGCAAAGGACAATTTTGTCCGCCTCTTGTGCTTAATGGTGCTTAACTGGTGCGTTCTAATTCATAACTCCTTTGTGCAACTCGAGTGTAGCACTTGGGGTCGGACTTGTGCCGCCCGAGGAGAGCGGAGGCTTCATTATGTAGGAGGTGTCGCCAAAGTTTGCTTTGGTTTCATTGTTGGTGCTCAAGGGCGATATCTACTGGATCAAAAAGTCACATTCTTCCTTTCACTTGTACCACAGTGGTGGCCACAATGGACATTTTAAATCAGAACTCGTATAGCCTTATTTGTAGCTAACTAGCTCTACAAATGTGTGTTTGACTTTAAATCCAACTTGTTTTTTTAAACCATCACGAACCTAACCCTATACCATGTATTAATACACTCCAGTCAAAAATACTTCATTACACTTATTATAAGCTAAACCTACAGGTGAAGTGTCTTGGAATGAGACGTAATTTATTTTAATTAGTGAGTACATCTCATGTCAAGACACCTAACAAGTAAAACTGCTTCCTGCAATGGCATCTCCCATCCAGTAAACCGAGCCGCATGAGACCACATGCAGCATCGACCACAAGGGCGTCCCACATTAATACATGTAGATGTTCTTTGGGAAGATGCAGGTGCAGAAAGCGTTGGTGGATTAGCCAAACGCATGGAGGATCAGGTTGACTGGAAACATCGTTTTAAGGCTCTTCTGAAGACGACCATTGGCTGATGATGCATTGGCAGATTTGTTCAGGTATTCCAAGCAATGTAAGGCCTTATTTTTTTAAGCTTTTTGTGTCTTGGAATAAGACGTTTATCTGAAGTGCAATGAGATACTTTTGACTAGAAGTTAGACTCATTCACCTGCAGAGATTTGAGTTCTTGCTCTAATAACCTCTTTAAAAGGAGAGTATTGTTATGTTCCAGAGATAAGAAAATCAAACACAACATGGATTTAATGAGCTCTGGACTCATTTAGACGCAGACACATTTTAAGGGGTAATTTGAACCTGCATGTATAAGCAGATCTATGAGCATCCTCTCCGTTCCCTCAGGGGGAAATCCTCTTCATCTTTATCAAAAACAAACTACAGAAAGTGCTCGAGAGTCATCAAACATGTCACATCCTCTGAAGCCATTATCCTCTTTGAGGCTGGATGGCCAATCAAGAATAAACAGAGTGAGGCTTCAGTGTGAATAATCAACAGGCGACCGCTTAATAATGCAGAATTCTGTTCATCGCCAAAGTGCAGGCCGTCTCCTCCAGGAGCAGTGGTTGGCGGTTCTTTTAATCATTCTCAGATTAATTAGTTTACAGACTAAAAAAACCTTACGCCCAATTAATTGGTGGCTCGCAGATGTGAGGCCGTCCACAGCGCTGAGCTTCAGACGACAATATTATCAGAGAACAACGTCCAGCCTCTTTAAAGAATCAACAGGATAAAGAGCTTCCACCACAGAAGAGAGAGAAACGCAGAAAGAGGACAGCTTTTTTCATTGAGACATCGCTATTTCATCCTCTCTACACCCTGATCCCTCAGGACACCAGAAGAAGAAGTCAGCCTTACCTTCAGTGGTTCCCGGTCTGTCAGGTCCACTGAGCCGTCGACTGCCTTGTACTTGCAGTCCTTGTCCCTCTGGTCAATGGTGGGGTAGGCGTCTAATGAGGTCAGAGAAACAATGGTCAGCTTAGTCCTAGATCCATAAACCAGTGACAGACCTGTTAAACATTTTGTGTCATCCAGTGAGAAGAGGCACACTGAAATATTTTCTGCACAGGAACACAAATAAGAGTGACAGGAAGTCATTGGACACAGAGAAGAAGACTAATCAGTACATTCCTGGCTTGAGCCCATCATAACTGTCAAAAACTCAATATTTACCACCAGAGTGAAATAATCAAGAAGAAGTATCTGCCCATTGTTCTAATAACAGAATTCAAAATGCCCACATTCATAGTTTTCATAAGATAGCCAGTATCTATCAAGTATTTTTGAGTAAGACGTCGGCCTTTAGCTGACACTTCTAAGAGCTGCTGCTGCTGCCAATAGGAGTTCAAGTCTTTCAGGAAATTCCATAACTTTGAAAACTAGCTTTTCAGACTGTATCAGCTGTGACGAGATGCCAAAAGATTGTGTTTAGGGACATTTCATGATGAAGAGATGTATTTAGGTAGAGATCACCAAGACTTACAGTGGTTTACACACTTACAAATACTGGTTATTGCTTTGACTACCTTGTAACAGATGTAAAGCTCATAACTATTGGTGCGTTCCATTTCATCTTCGTTATGGTAAATGGACGTATACATTGCCGAAGAAGCAGTGGGAGCAACTTGTGGTTAAGTGTCTTGCCCAAGGACATATCGACATGTGGAAGCAGGAGCTGGGAATCAAACCCCTGACCTTCCAGTTGAGAGACACCTGACTCTACCACAGAGCCACAGCCGCCTTTGGACCAAGAGGGGCTTCTCTGAATTTCTTGGAAGTCAGAAATTGATGCACCCTGATGCCAGTTGGATACCTCATCAGGAAAGCCCCCCTGAAGTCAGAACGCCAACTCGGACCCTGAGGGACTTCAGTAGCCTGAGCTCAAAATCCAACACGGCTGCTCCAAGCATTAGCAGTAAAGTATAAGTCGTATATTATTGTGTTTATTTTGTGTAATGAAACCATCACAGCGATAGTATTGTGCCAGTTCTATCTGTGGCTTTCACTCAGTGGGTTGTCTCTTGGTGTTAGCCAACACAACAAAGGTTCTCCTGGAGGCGTCCATGTTGCTTTTCCGACTTGTTGCCAACTTGTGACTTGAATACGGTCAACTCAGCTGTGACGTCATTCTTAGCTCCGACTTCAGAGGTCAGTGGAACGCACCATAACCCACAAACCCTGCTGACCTGTCAGCCTCACAGCACAGAGGGAAGTGTTGTAACTTTTCACGAGTCAAACTTTCATCAATTATTAATCAAAATGTGATCACAGCTACAGCTCTTAGACACCCTGCTGCAGATGTTTCCATTTATTCTCTATGTGGGAAATACATACGGTTTAAGAATTCATGTAAATGATGGCACTCATATTTGAATTGTAAACTATAGAATAGTTATGGAGATGTCACAAGGGTTGTTCAAGTCTGTATTTTAAATAGTGCACGCTTTCATTGAAGGTGAACTATGATTTAGATTATTTACTGACTTGTTTGCTAAGTCAATGTCTCATATGACTCATACATAAAAACACAACACATATATCTGGGAATTGATATTCATTAATTTTCCACAGCACATTTCCGTACACTGGTTTGTTCTGGTGAAGATTTCACCCTTTCCTGCACTTAGATTTTTACATCCTTTTAAAGATTTCAAACAAAACACTGTCAGAAAGTTGAAATATGTCATCATAAATTCTTGTGAACAGCTCTGGGTGATTCACATCTCCCGGGAGTCCCTCTCCTTTTTATGAAACTCACTTTGGGAAGTTTCATACATGACCTACTTTAAAGTGGCAGTGTTTTTTTGGAGGCACTTTTACTTCCAGTACAATTCCTGGGAGGGAAACAGGAGCCCACAGGCATGACAGGGAAGCAGCATGATATACTTTCAGACATCTTTGGAAAAGGGTGAGAAATGATTTCATGCTCCTGTTAAAAGTCACTTTATCTGCACCTATCACCCCCAACAGCCTTCCTGATTTCATGAACTGAAGAGAGACTTTGTCTTATTATTTTACATATTTCTAAAAACAGTACAGACGAGGACATAGGCCGTATAATTTATCAAGAGTGTATTTATATCAGTGAAAACCACCCACACCTGTTGTTATTAAAGGTCACATATTCTCCTCCTTAACATTAAGAAGACGAGAAGTCAAATCAGAGTCGACCCTGTTGGTCACTGGAGGAGAGTTTAGAGGAGAGTCCTTCTGTGGCTCGGGACAGTCATGCAGTCTGACTCTTACCTGGACCCAGCTCATCCATAGGTATCATATCACCACGGCCACATTTCTTGGTGCCTGAAAAGCATTCATATGCTGTTTGTACAAATAAAGGCACACATTAAAAACAGGAGAAGCTGAGCCAACTACTGCTGCTTTTCAAGGGAAATGATTCTCAGCCAGTGATTGGAAAATGCAAAAAAACTGAGAGTGGGCAGGCATGAGCGCTGCGATTCATGTGCATGTATGGATGCAAAGAAAAAAGGAAAATTGGGGCACTCGGCCAAAAAATGAGGACATTAAACTGCTGCGATGCTATTGACTCCTCTGTCAAAGAGATGTTTGTTGTTGGGCCAATGTGCTGCACAAGTCCCCAACCGCCCCCCCCTCTGTCCCTCCGTCCCTCCCCCGCACACTCTGCTTACTTCATGATGGGAACATTTTCAATGTCTCTGACCCTATTACATCAATTTAAAACCCCCCATGATGAAAGTAAACGATAATTCCTCTATCTTCTGTCTAAACCTACTTTCTGACATTTAAAAACTTTTCTTTTAAAGCTTCAACTCCAGATTTATATGCAATGGTTTCATGACGCCTCACAGCTTCACCACACAGCGGATGAGAGGAGTAATATGGTAAGCACTTCACTTTGATACAGCCATGAGAAACAAAGATGTCAGTGTTGTGGAACCAAACGATCACAAGCTGTTTTTTAAGTTTTTCTTCTTCCTGCACCTTTACGTTCTTTGTGGATGCCAAAGTGAAGAGGGAGGATGCCTCTACATTGTTCTGCTTTAACAGAACAAAAAAAAAAAAAAAAAAGAATCAAAGAAGGAGTGAATTTTCTGTTTGAACCTGCTTAGAGGACTTTATGGAAGGGATAATCCACATCAGGACAGATGATGAAGATAACCTTTAAATAATAGTGTGTTTAATTTTTCTCTTGACTTGATTTGTCTTTACTGGACAGGTTTGTGAAGGGCCTCTAAAAGGCGCTCACAGCCCTCTCAGTTGACTTTTGGGACAGGACGGCTCTCGTCAATATCACTACTCCCTCACCGACCAATCAAAATCAAGAAGGGCGGGACTTCTGGTATCAGCTTTGTCAACATAATAGCGAAGGAGAGGCTAGTCCAACTCGTCTTTTCGAGTGTACGCTTTCCAGATCTGGAGATGCTGATGTCAGGATATGTTTCCTTGACATTGTTTTCTTGGTGATATTTCTTTGAATTAAAGCAAAAATGCAGATTGAATGTGAACATTGTATTTCCAAAAGTTTAGTATTTTCCTCAGACGGAGTATTGATAAAGTCTGACGTTATTGTCACACATACAAGCATTCTTTTGGCCTCCATGTTGCCGTTGCCTAGCAATGGTGTTCCCTACAGTGACCACTTGAATTTGACGACAGTGTCGGCTATCCTGCCTCCAGTGTGAATTCTCCTTTTGGCTCCTTTTGGATTTTTTGGGGGACTTTTGTTGGGGTTGGATTTTGGGCTTTTCATGAGTCACCTTTTGTTATATCTTTTTGTCCTCTGTTAACAAAATGATCCTACTAACAATATTGTTTTTGCAACTAAAGTTTGATCAGTTCTGCTGTAGAAATCCATCTTCAGTAAGTCTCACAGAGCTTCTCCAGGATGGAAGTCAAGAAGTATCTGGGCCTTTTTGGTTTGAGTCTTTTCAGGGAAACTTTTGTCAATCTAAAGATCTAAAAAATCTCTGGACTCCAATAAATAATATTTCAGTTTATGATGCTTTATTATCATTGTATTGTTTTATCCCCCCTAACTCACCTCATATGTGTCCTCTAATCAGGCTAAAACAGCAACGATCACAACCACACACATATGAACTGACCTTGGTTTTTCTCCATCAGGGGCAGAGTGGTGTCGTCATAGCCAGGCTTGCCATTCTTTGTAGCTTTCGGGGTGACTGTCACTGTGGGCTAAGACACCAAGCAAGAAAAAAAAAAGCATCATACAACTGAAGCTGGTTGATGCTGAACAGAGAGAAACACACTTCATGCTCTTATTATACTCATTCAACAACGTCATGCTAACTAACAAGACAACAGCTAATGTTAGCATTCATCGTGGTATCTTGGGATTCAAAGCTGCCTCACTGTATCTGGAAACACTGTGAAGAAGTACTGTTAGCATTTGGTCATCCATCCATCCATTATCTACACCCTTTATTCCATTCAGGGTCTTGGGGGAGGGGCTGGAGCCGATCCCAGCTGTCATTGTGCAAGAGGTGGGTAACCCTGGACTGGCTGCCAGTCACTTACAGGGAGTGGCATTAGGCCTCAAGCTAATGGTAATATCTACTCGGGGGCTGGTTAAATGCTAACATTAGCTGTTTTCTGTTGGAAGATAATGGGTTAAAAATAATGTTTTTTGGCTTTGCGTTATGATCTGATTTCCCTTCAGAGTTAATTTATCTTTTGTTTTGTTATTCACTAGAGATTCATCTCTTCATAGGGCCCAACACACAAAGACATGTTTCTAGAAAAGCCAGCAAAACCAGGACATTGACGAGTTTCACCATTGGCCAAAGCAGCCAATCAAATCAAGTTGGAGGCTTTAGCTCCGCTTTGTACGACATTATTCTCCCTCCTCATCCAGGGGCAAAGCAAAAGTGACAGCCCTACAGTTGCTGGAACCCATTTTTTCCCACTTATTATATTTAATCGTCCATTTTCGCATGCAGCCCTGCTCAACAGGCACTCCCGGCTATTTCCCCCCCCGGCTGCACTTAGTTGACGCGTCTCTGTGTGATCGGGGTATATTTAAGAAATATTTTTTGCAACCAATGAGAAAACAATAAGGTATGTTTTGATGTAACGGTCGTGGGGGCGTGGCCCGATTCGAGGCTTGTCGCAACTGATTATTTGTCCAAATAATCCTCAAGTGTGTGGCGTCAACACGATTATCTTACTGCTCCTAATCAAGTCGGAGCCTACACATTCAGGAATCGTAATTATTAGACATGTTGGATATTTATGATTCCAGACCAGGGGAGCTCCGACGGAAAACCCGTTTGTGGATGTTGAGCACGTTAATAAACATGGCAGCAGACATAAACACAACTGAGCCTTGAGCCAAGTGGAAAAACTGAAGAAGAAGAGCAGCTTGTGGAATTATGGCAACCACAGGAATGTCTTCATAACGTCTTATGAAGACAAACCACACAGCCAGCTGACCACGTCCATCGTCCTCCATATTTGTTTTTCTTCTGAGGTCACGCTTGAGCGTGTGAGTTACTGTGAGATCTCGTGTCTGTGAAGTCGTCACTACAAACAGCTGGTGTGTTGTCCTCGTGTGTGCGTTCAGAGGATTATAATGTTAAACATCGGTTGTAACTGTCCTCATGTCTGTGGTGTTAAGATTTGAAAACCATACAGTGTGTGGTCGGACTTGTGGATAACCTCCACAGGATCACAGCTCAGTACCTGGAAGTGGCTCTTGTTCCAGCCATCCTTGGTCAAAGCATTCCTCAGGTCCTTATAGCTCCAGACCGTCTGCAGCACGTGGGACGCCGCCTTCGTTTCACGAGCTGATTGGCTGAGGAGGCCACAAGAAAAAGAGGGACAACATGGAGATTTAACCACAGCGATTCACATCAGAGACCTCATCTAATCCTGAAACAAGTGACAGCTTGGTATCGTAACACACGGCTGCTGCTGCAATCAATCTCTTTATTCAGAGACGTCGAGTCCCATGAGCGGCTCCAGGGTCTGCTTTTTAATTCACAGCCAGATGAGTGCACATTTCCTTTCATTAGCTACATCTGAGCAACCAGTATTAATTACATGTTGGTGGGGGGCCTCACTTCAAAGAAAGCTAATCTCAGAAGGCTGCGAGGGGAAACAGCTATTTGGTCTGTAAATTAACTGAGTATATTCATGCGATTCAGAGCCGCTCTCTGGTTGATCAATACTTCACCAAACCAGCACCAGGCTTTGGAAAGGGCTCTTGATCTTAAAATGAAAAGTTGGGTGCAGGCACACTTCATTCTGGCGTGGTCAACACTTTTGCTAACCGAAGACGAGTGCATTAATATCTCTTAGCTTTCATTCTAAGAGTCTTTGGAGAGCGTTGGTATGACTCTACCTGCTTACTGGGACGAGCAGCAGCTGCAGTGGCACTCCTCTTTAATAATGCCCTCCAGTTCTGAGAGTTCATTAATGAGTAGTGGGTGGCGGTGGTATTGTGGTAGTCAAGCTTGTGGCCATTAGAGACACATTACATTATCCTCTGTGAATGCTAATGTCAATGCACACAATGATAATTACATCCAAGGTCATGCTGTGGTTAGAAAAGAATGTCTTCATGGTGAACACACCCTCCTGTTTACATGAAGATGGACACTCTTTTCAAACTGAGCTTCCACAAGCTCAGTCGCCATCACGTCTTTGTACATTCATATCGATTCTGCACCATGGTTGTTTTCAAGATGGAAAGATTTAAACCCTTATCTGTATAGAGAACAAACCATATAACGTATTTTTGTAGGCCAACCCAGAAGTACCGTCACCATGGGGTCTAACGAGAATTCGCCCTATGGGAATTTTTAATTGAATTTTGGATCATTTCAGAAAATAAGCTCTGTGGCTAACACGTGTTTCTGAAGCGTAGGCGTTTTGTTCAGCAGGATAATCTTCACAGATGAACACCATTTTTATGATGTTTGAAGCGTTAATGCGGCCGACAGAAGTAAAAAGCTAACGTTATGCTACAAGCTAACTACACCACGGTCGGATGATTGTGACGTCACTAGCGTTATGCTTCAGACGATCTCTGATAAACTAATCCACGTAGCTTTATAAATAGTTTAATAACATAATATTCACCTTAACCTAAAGATTAAACCTACAGGAGACATCTCCGACTAGTGAGAATTCCCGACCTCTGTGTCCGGCGTGATGACGTTTAATGTCCCCGACAACCACTGTAGTCACATTTAGCCACTTGTTAGCAACCGCCTTTTTAAAGACGAGTAAAAACTTCAAAATTCACAAGTGGGGGTGTTACCTAACGTAGTTTATGTGGTCTAACAAAACACCAACATCTCTTCAGCTTATGTTAACCACAGACCTTATTTCAGGCATCTAACCACAAACCCATTCAAAATCCACATTGACTTTTAGACGTTAGACCCCATGGCGCTCAAATGCTAATTTACTTCCTGGTTTTAGGACTAATTTTAGGCGCCCTATTATGAAATGATTTAGTGACGTTATTTATTCAGCGTTGTTATATAATGTGTGCGTCTCTTCCTACCTGGTCCTGTTGATGGCGACCAGCTTCTCGATGGCCTGCGCCTGGATGAGGGAGCGGGCGTTTTCTGAGCTGTCGGTGACGATCTCGTGGATAGTGTTGAGGATGGCGACCACCGTGTCCTCCTCTAGGTTTTTGGCGGGTCGCTGCTGACCGCTGGGTAAGTTGCTCACCAAGTCCCGCATGGCGTAACTTCCTGTAAGGTCCAGCAATTTAAAAAAAAAAGGTCAACGATGTGGCAGAGCTTTGGATCAAATAGATTAGATATAAAAGGACATTCTTGATGATTATGATTTTTAAAGGAGGGTTTTACAAACTGCTTGTTAATAGAAACTCTAATTAGCTTTGGCTCAACGGTCTACGCAGGATGTATATTTGGACCCCATTTCTTAAAAAGTAACGCCCATAACTCCATTATGAGAAATGTTTGATTTCCAGTTCAAATACAAAATAAACCCTTTTTCTCTCCAAATTAAAAAAAAATGCTTTCTGTGTGCAGTTGCTAACATCTCGTACCAATGAGGTCCTTGTTGCGGCGGTCGATGGACAGGTTGCGCAGGGCGATGGCCACGGCTCGGACCACCTTGTCAGAGTCGGAGCGCAGCAGCTCCACCAGGATGGGAAGACCTTTCTCTTTACGCACCGTGGCTCGGATGTAGTTGGACCACTGGAGGGCAGACACAGGACATTGTTGTTTTTTTTAGTTCAACCTTTTATCCTCCACGGTAGACTGAGTGAGCACACGCTTGTCAGCAACATCCTGTCTGACATTCATGCCCGACCTGAAGAGCCCCACATGGGAGCTGCCCAGCATGACCTCACTCTTTTTTTTTTTTTGTTTGTTTTTTTTGTGTGTATTTCTTTGGACCCACTGGGAGAGCTTCACTGGAGCAGCGTCACACACATGTGAACACACACTCTCCATCCTTCACTTACTTACTGACAAGACGGCTCTGACTGCTCCCTGAGTTTTGACTAATTCACAACATCACACAGCGGGGTTCTGGATCGACATGCGACATAATCTGTCTTAATTCAATCATCACTAGATTTCACTCCTCATTTTTCTGTAACATGAAACATTCAGTTTGACATTAAAGAGTTTCTCCTCTAACCAGCATCACCCCAAGAGATGTCATTAAGAAGAAGGTATTAACATTAACAACACTAGATGGCAGTAGTACACTTTTAAAAAAACAGATGTAGGGAGCAGAAAAAGAGGACGGTGGGGATTCTGAGGAGAAGCTCTGATATCCTCTCAGGGAGCAGGGACATGATTTGTCCAGCTACCAGATGTGAAATTGAGATGTGTGAGTAGGTTTCTGAGCCTTGCCAGAAAATCTTGATCAGCTTCAATATGAAAAAAAAAAGAAGCAGCACATGAAAGAAGGATTTGTCCTTTTTTAAATAAAATGTTCACCCTCAGCTGAAAACTACAAATACTGAATTATTCAAACTAAAAGTGAGGCTCATTCGTGGGGTAGGAATGCTGGATACTGCTGATGAGTTTACTGGACTGAGAGGACGTGTTTACAGTCTGACACCGGGGTGTTCAGAGGAGAGATCATGCTGCCCTGGTCTGAGGGTAGCAGGCCTGCAGAAAAAGACTAAGTGACCACTATCACCCTGGGTGCTACAACTAAACGGGGATCTGAAAACTAGACCCCCCCGTTTATAATCACTTGTGCCTGTGGGTCAGACAGCCTCTCCACAAGAGGCTCTAATAGGAGTAAATGACTGGTGATAAAGTAACAGAGCTGGAGGTTTGGTGTTCAGAGTCTTGTTTGTCGTGTTACCCCACTAAGATGGTTCTGACAAAGAAGGGGGAACCATAGCAAACGCCTTTTAAAAAACAGCTTGCATCATATGTCAGAAAAAACCTCCCATCCATTATCTCGGCAGATGTTAACGCCCATCTTGACCCTTCGTCTTGCCTTCAGTGTAAATGTCAACAGAGGCGTATAATGGTGGGACCAAGTGGATCCCAGCCCTGTGCTCATCCTTGGAGGTAGTAACAGAGGCTTTTAAGGAGCGGGACGGGACCACTTAAGGTTTTTACATAATCACACAGCCCAGATGAGCTTGAAATCTGTTTGGGGTGTTTAAGATGAGGTCTAGAAATTCTTCATACACAGATAATTTGGGTCAAACGTCGATGCAGACCGAGGGCTCACACTGGATTTTTCCTCTAGTTGTGAATAAGGGGAATATTGGGATAAATTGTCCTTACATCCCTGTAGTGTGAGTCTGGACTAGGTGACTCTATTAGCACCCTAACTCAGGAATACGGTCCTGCTTTCATCTTAGAGACTTTTTACTTTTGCTCAGCAATCCAAGAAATCTGCTACAAAGAGGTCAATGATGAGGACAGAAGTTTAAAAAGTACAATACTCAAGATTAATAAATATATTTCAGTGAGTCAGCCCCGTCCCCAGCCCTGAACTCACAGTCCACTGTCCAGCGCTGAGGTTCTGAAGAGCCCCCGCAGCAGCCTCCAGGGTGTTGAAGTTCTGGCTCTCAGTCAGCAGAGAAAGGTAGAGCCGCACGACTTCAGGCTGATACAGCAGCTCGAAGCCTGCAGGGAAATACACAGAAACACACACACAGACACACACTGGTTAGACAGACAGACCAATTAGGCTGTGTGAAGGTAGCAGCAGTACATTGCGGAGGTTTATCTCGGACCAGGGGGAGAGAGCTTTGGCAAGGAGAAAGAGGAGAGAGCCCTTTACTAAAAATGCACAAAGGCGTTATAGAAAAAGTGAAACGCCTCAGCAAATGCAATAAACGTCTGATGGCGATGACATTTTCAATGAAAACCTGATGGAGTCTGAGGTGATCACTTTTTCTCCCAACAGGCTGCAACAACTTCACAAAAAAAAAATGTAGGAGCAGAGCCCAGCATCGTTCCTCTTGGTGACACTTTGGCATCGTGATTCCAGATACTTCACTAATATAAATGAGAAGAGAATATTGATCCGACAGCTCACACACAACCCTGAGTATTTGAGCAGGAAGTTTATCTCACTAACACATTCCAGCAGAGTCAGTCATCAGGGCCTCCCTCTGATGGAAACCTAATTACATTATCAGCTATTAAGAGAGCGCCGGCACAGGGAGAGAACATCGCATTTACACATCTGACGTCTTTTTTTCTTGTGTTGCACAAACAGGTACGTCTCTGTTAGTCTCTGTGAGATGCTTAACAAGACACAGAGCACCTCAATTTGTGTTCAGAGATTGTGCCGAGAGGATCGTTTTTAAAGGCAAGGTCATTTTAAGCTCTTCACATCCCTGGAGGGGAGCCAGATGGATCTCACCACGGGAAAGGCAGAACATCTTGTGGGACTCTTACGGCTTAAGGAAACAACTCAAGGCTTTTAAGACCAGCCTAAAGGAAAGTTCTAATGACCAAATACAACTCTTCAACCAGTTTAAATAAGTCTCAGAGCTCCTCAAAACATGTCTGAAGTTTCTTGTTCTAAATCCACTCTGATCCTGTATTTGATCATGTCTATAAACCCCTCTATTTCAGCCCTGCTCAGAACAGGCTGTTTCTGTGTCTGTACCTTTAAATATGTAAATGAGCTGTGCCTGACCATGCCCCTTCTATGGATGTGGCTCAGGCTTTCTCGCTCCTTGTCCTATATGTTTATGGTGAGAAGGCAGACTCAGAGGGGCAGAACAAACACCTAGCTGTGGGAGTGTCACCCACCTGGGGGAGGGGCTACTGCCCTTTGTGATGTCATGAAGGGAAGATCTCCAAACGGCCTGGTTGAGCACACATTTTCTGAAAAGTGGAGCAGGCAAAAGACGGAGAGGATGGACTTTTCTCATCATTGGGGGGTTTGTAGACGGACTAGAGACACATATTAGTGTCAGAGAAACATGGTGAAGTGAATTTTGAATAATATGTGACCCTTAAGGTTTATTTACCAGCTTTAAAACTGAGGTGAAATCGTGCCCTGTTGTCAGTCGACTGTGTGTTGATCCAAGGCAAAAGTGTCTTTAGAGTAAGAACTGAAAACTGAGCCCTGAAGTAAGTCCTTAGCGCTTCAACAGGGGGCACAATCAGCTCTCACTCACAGAGGCTTTAACAGACTGCTGCAGTGTGAGCTGGTGGCTAAAATCTCCTTTTACAGAAACACCATTTCCCCAGCAGCTTCTCCTCCTATCCTCGACAACAGCACACGAGCTATTTCAAATCCTCCGTCAATCCCTCCAGGCTCAAATTAAAGGAAATATAACCCGCTGTTTCCTCGTCCCATATCTTCTGAGGCCAGTGTCTGCGAGGTTTCTATTTGAAACCCCTGTATTATGTGTGCAGGGACGTATAGTAACTCATTTGATTGATGCACAAGGGCTGACGAGGCCCTCGGTATGTTTTTTAAAACTGTAGAAGAAGAGAATCTTTTTGTAATGTGAGTCTGACCTGGGTCCAAGTATGAAGCCATGCATCAAAACTCTTAAAGGGCAACACAAGCCAGCGATTCCTTTTTTTATAGACTTACTTGTTTTTCTTAGAAGGGAAACAGAGGCTGAGTGTTTGTGAGGTACAACGGAAACACACAAGCTGACATTTTTGCCTCTAAATCCACTTCTCACACCCATAATTTGCAGAGAGCGGAAGTCTGGATTGCCAGATTCAGTCGAGGCAACATAGCTGTTAACACTCAAAAGACAGCGTTTCATCCCTGTGGTGTTTTCCCCACAAAATCCAGGCCAAGCTCGCTCCAGAATGTGCACAGGAGGAACTGCCAGGTCGGGAGGAGAAGGAGAAATGTTGAACTTCTTTTCAAAGCAGCAGCATGCAGGAGTCGCCCTAAAAAAACCTCTATTGTACCCATGTGTTAAAACATGAATCCCATCAATAGGTTTTTCTCGGGGGGGCTAGGCAAGAGGGAAGAGTCTGCAAACCAGACACTCAGCAACTTTCTGCATGCTCCTCATATTTCCGGGCCTACTGGGTGCACACTCAGCAAACCAGAGACCATGTTGCAGAGCACTCCTGTTGACAGACACTTCATCTCCTTGGCAGATTCTCTCTGCACAAAATGTCAGCCATGTTTTTACCTTTGTTGCCAAGTTCGCCCGCGCTCAAAAGACTGTGCAGCATTTCTATTATAAAATCTGCAAATCCACATTTCCTTCTTCTTGCAATTCCTGTGGTCGTGGTCTGGCAGCCGACTGAAGCGACTTATGAAATTGGCGCTGTGCAAATAAAGGACTCTAGAAACAAAAAGGCATGAACTGTTCAACAAAGGAGAATGGGAATGGAGGGAAATTCACTGGTCCTTTAAACGTCCTCCTTAATCCTTGAGTGGAATCTTTTGTCTGCTGAGCCAGAGTTTTCTCTTTGCAGCCTTAAACGCTGCTGAACGCTGAACGTCAGTTTGAGCTCTGCTGTCACCTGTATACTGTAAGTGTTTTTGTTGTTGATGTCATCAGTCGTCACCTGCTAGCCTCTGGGCCTGCTAGTTGTCAGTTAGTTAGGCAGAATTACAATTCACAGGGGGGCTGAGCTGTCAGTACGACGTGACCTTGGCTTTGCTCAGGGGCAACACGAGGCCCTATCTTCTGTGACAGACTGCGAACATGATGAGATTACCTAACTACATACACAGGTATTTAGGTGTGTGTGTGCACGCGGACGGTTTTGAAAGAGTAAAGAGTAAACTCTGCTTTTGATCAACCATGAAGCTTACAGCTAGTTCTAGTCACGTTTATGAAACAGGTTCAGGATCCAGTTAGAAAGACGTTTTCAGATCCTTTGCTCAGGGAAAAGAAGACAGCAAATATGATGTTAGTAAAATGTAGTTCCCAACGATATGGGGTTTTTGGGGCAGATCAGATATTGATATTGGGAAGAGAAAAAAATCAGATACCAATATATCAGCTCATATCTTACTTGGATCTATCTCAGATGTGTATAGATCGATATACATACACATTCAATGCGTTGATCCCTCAGATGCAGTTATCAAACACGTGGAAAAAATATAAAATGAAGACAAGATGGTCACTCAAATGGAAAGTAACTGAGCATGTATACACATCACCGCTTGTCAATCTGGAGACTGATAATGCTCGTTATAATCCATATAGCGCCCTCTGCTGGTGACAGAGAACTGATAGTGTAATACAATGAAACTCAAATTAAATGCTATTTGACCGGAGAATAAATCAAGTAATATCTACAATAAAATCAGCTGATACAATAGTCACTGGATGTGCTAATATCGGTCGATATTATCGGCTGACCAAATAATCGGTCGGGCTCTAGTAAAATGTGTATAAAACGTTTTTTTTTATTATTTACAATCTATGATTTTTACCAAATATTGTATGGGTTTGAAGAAGAACAATATTTTTAGTGATACCATCAGCAACCATTCTGATGATTTCTTTATTGTTATTCTTAATGTTTAAAACAGCAGCTGGGGGTTGGTGTCAGATGAAGTGATCAACTGCGTGCTGCTAAAAAAGCTTCTTTTTCATTTTCCACAACAAAGATGCTCAAAGAGTGAAGTATCTGACTATAAAAATAAAGCAGGGGAGATTCTGTTGTTAGAAAAACCTTTTTACTCATGTAGAGAACAAAACCAGCAAAGACTGCTTTGCAGAAGGAACAATAAACCACCACAAACCAAAAAGAAGAGCTTCAGCAGCATTCAAGCAATATCTGTCAGAAGGGAAGTGCACAATGTAGCACTTCTTCTAACACACATGTCAATAATTCAATACATTATAGTGTCACTAACACTAGTGCCCACTCCTGGGGAGCTGAGGCCAGCCCGTCTGTGCACCCTGCTTGTGTGTTGATTACTGAAGATGCCCTGACCCGACTCCTGCAGAGCTCTGCTCCATAACTACTGACAAACACACAGAAATGCACATACAAAGAGCTCAGGAGAACTCCTTTCATCCCTCCATGAGGTGAGTGGGAGCAGCAGCTGGTTACTTTTTCAAAGCTGAAGATGACGCTACGATCGAGGTGACGCTCAATTAGCACCCAGACCCTGAAGAGAAGGAGCTTTGTGGTGCTGCGGTGCATGAAAACTGGGTTAGAAACAAAAGTTTAGCTGAAGTGATTGAGTGCTGCTCAGTGCAGAGCTGTTGCTTTCACTCGGTTCAAGTAGCTTCACAATTGGTTGCAATTAAGAGCAAGGTGTGGCGGTGTGACAGGCTGGTAAATGATAATGGATTAACTGTTCACACACATTCACACATGCATGTGAACAAAATGTGGCTCTCTTAGCCCTCTGCCTCCTTGTAGGTGGGTCGGCTGCAGTTGTGCAGGACAGGACACACACCTCTGCAAACCCCTCTGTACATGCACGCACACACGCACACACGCACACACACACACACACACACACACACACACACACACACACACACACACACACACACACACACACACACACACACACACCAAACCCTTGCGCGGCCATGTCAAAAAGTGATGTTCATCGATCCTGTCTGTTCTTTCTACTCTTGCTTCCTTCTATACGAGCGCTGTACTGGCTCCATTTATTTCCAGGATACTAACAGTACACAACACTTCCATCGAGT